CAAGAGTTTCCCGACCCGAGAAAATAGACAAGATTCTAAGATTATAAAATTTGAGTGAATTCAATATTAAAATCTAGGGAAAATATAATGTGAAAATTGAAAATGAGCCCCTTAGATATACTTGTTTGGAGATAAGTCCTGTAAAAAAACTTATAACGGATAAGTCTATGTTTAAAATTATATGTAATGACTTCGGTCTACTTTTTTTTTATCTCAAAAATACTCTTCCTTGAAAGGAAGTTAATCTTTTCCCTCTCATATTTATCTATATTCATATATAGGTTAAGAGTTTGACTAATATTAAAATTTTTTCTCTTATATATATATATATATATATATATATATATATATAACATTAAAAAAAATAGTAACATTCAAAAACGAAAAAAAAAATTACTATGAATTTGAATAATAAAATTCAAATTCATGTTACTATTTTTTTTATTATGTTATTGTTTATATTACTGTTTTTGTTGAGTATGTTATTGTTCATGTACTATTATTTTTGAGCATGTTACTGTTTTTGTTGAGCATGTTACTGTTTTTATTGAACATGTTACTACTATTATTTTCCTAAATATTAATATTCAATGTTACTTTTTTTTTTTTGAATATTACTATTTTTGTATTTGAATTATACTAATTTTTGCGTTTGAATTTGAGAAAAAAAATAATTATTGTTAAGTATGTTATAGTTTTTATTAAGCATGTTACTATTTTTGTTGAACATGTTACTGTTATTATTTTTTAAAAATATTAATATTTAATGTTTCAATTTTTTTTATGTTTAAATGTTACTATTTTTTGTGTTTAAATATATTATTTTTTGTGTCCAAATGATAATTTTTTTTTTGTATTTGAATGTTACTATTTTTTATTTTTAATGTTACTATATATATATATATATATATATATATATATATATGAGCTAGAAAAGATTTTAATGTTAGTAAAACTCCTAAAATTTAAGAGTTTTTAATTTTTAGTTTTATTTCACTTCTAAAAGGAAGGAATAATATGATAAAATTGACAAAAAACGGACTTCATAACAAATAATTTTTTTTGACGGACTTAAATTCAAACAAGTTCATATAAGAGGACCGGCCTTCAAATTTTCCAAATATAATTTGTACCTCTTGGCAAGCCCAAATCCAATTGGGCTAGGCGGCTAGGCCCAGTTTTTGGGAAATTCAAATTAATTAGAAGGTATGTCAAATTTAGTTTGTGACCTTAGCCCGGTCCAACTCTCAAAAATCATGTCTATCCTTTATTCTACTCATCCATAGTGGTAGCTACTCTCTTCGAGGAGTAAATATTGAATGAAACGATAATATCACGTGGTAATTGATGACATGGTATCACCTATCAATAATAAAATCTCAAATGGGAAAGGTGAACCCTACTTGGGCTGACATGGCAGGAGGGTGAGAAGTTATTTGTTTATATGACAGGTTAATTATTAATTTTTGTGGGTTCTATGTGCTTATTTGTTTTAGTACTATTAGTTGGTGATACCATATCACTTTGTCACGTGATATCATCATTGTAATGAATTTTTTCTCCTCCCTGAGAGACTAGTAACCCAACCTTCATGCCACCGCCTTGGTTAGGACTCTGTGCCTGAGCCCTCTACACATGAAAGACATACAACTATCTCTCTCATGTAGTTATTTCACCACACATAGAGCTTGTTTTTACTCTCTCTCTCTCTCGCGTCTACTATTTTATTAATAAAATTTTTCGGTCACTGTCATCGTCTTCAGTGATTAGGTCACCTCGGCCCAATCATTTAATATTTGTTTTTTACTATTAATTGCTCCATTAATTATCCAGAATCATATACTTGACCGAATGTGCATAGCATAATTTGTGTATTATCACCTTCTATTTTAATAAAATTTAAGGGATGTCGGTATTAAATTACATCCTAGCAGTTGATTGTGCACCATCACCTTCTATTTTAATAAAATTTAAGGGATGTCGGTATTAAATTACATACTAGTAGACGCGATTAAGTAACGTGTGAGATTGAAGGTGTACGTGTGCCTATGAAACTATAAAGATTAAATTGCATTTTATACCTCTAAAAATTTTAAATTTTTAATACTTTTAAAAATTAAAATTTTTATATTATATATTTAATGTATTAAAAATGTTCTAATATTTTCCTTCTATTCCATCAATGCCTGTGGAGCAGTTTTTGACGGAATGAATAATAGGAACTAATGGAAGAGCAATATTATAAGTTGCAACACTCTTAATACACTGAGAGGGTATAATATAAGAAACTCAATACTTGTGGGTATTATATAAATTTTTATAAATCTCCGGGGTGCAAAGTGCGATTCCCCAACTATAAACATCTATCAGTTCGATTTCTGTTGAAGCAGTTCGATTTCATACCTATCAATTCAGAATTCAGGTACACCATTTGGGTTCTCTATCTCTCTTTCTCTCTCTAGCCATGATTAATGGATTAACCCTTCGAGTCTATATGTTTAATAAAATCGTTAAGCTTCTTGTGATGCTTGACAGGTGGGATTTATCTCTTTTTGGTTTATGTTCTCGTTAGGATTTCTTTTTCTTGTTTGCTTGATGTTCATCATGGGTTTGTTTGTTCTTTTGTTGTTACAAGCTTGATGGTTTGTTTTTCTTTGTACGCAATGTATACCATACTTGCTAATTTGGGATTTTATGGGAATTGAATATGAACACCTCTTTGTCGCTTTTTATGTGTATCTGTGGGGGAAAAGAGGGTTGTGGGTTGTGGGTTTTGGAAGAAGAGATGTTAGAGGCATGTAATTTGTGAATATTGGACATGAGTATTTCACCTTGTTTTTGTTCTTGATTAACAAGAAATTGGCACATAAAAAGGATTAAGATAAATGTTTCTTCTTCTCAATAAATCGCTTTAAGGTAATTTGACGAAAACAGTTTTTTCAAAATTCCCATCAAGAAACAATGTCTGGCGGTGCTGGTTTTCCCTTGCGGTTGAGTAGCCAAAGTAGCTGTTTCGAGATGATAGCAAACCGGCCTTTAGCAATTAGCATGCTTTATTTTTTTTTGTTTTGAGCTTTCCCTCTTAATGTGGTAGGATATCTTGAAACTTCGACTTGGACCAACTTTTGAGTTCTTGAATCTTCAAAGTGCTATGTAAGGTTCCTTACAAGCTTGCTTGGATTGAAAGGTCTTTAATACTTTTCGATTGTGCTATTATGGCATTTTTTGGGTTGTCTGGTTGGAAACAAATAGAAGAATCTTGGATGAAGAAATCAAGATTGTGGAGTTTCTAAAAATTTTCGCCTTGGAGTTCTTTATTGAATTATCTATTTTTACCTTTTCTATTGTTTTAGTGGCTGTACTCCTTGTTTGCCATTATTTTTATTCTCTTTTAGGCTATGGAAACCTTTAATTTCTTATCAAAAAGGATAGTTGGGATTACTAACAACAATTTATCTATCTCTGCTTCTATCTATGAGGTGTGACGTACTACATAGAAGGTTTTCATGGGATTTTTTTTGTGCTGCATATGTACTAATAGATAAAACGAGATGTACATGCTTGAATAAAAAATAAACATCTTGAATGTCTTTGTGTGTAGTTGATTTACGATGTGCTTGCCCATTACTTTCAAGGTTGAGAAACAGTGAAGTTTTGTGATTATTTAGAAAGACTCTGTTTTGATTGGACATATGCGGAGCTTTGAAGCATGGTTTTGTGCATTTATAGTCCCATTTATTTTGTTTGTTCACTTGTTTTCCCCCTAAAAGTGAACAAAATATTCTCCAAAAAATATAAAAGTGCGTTTGGTAACGTTTTCGTTTTTATCTTTTTCTTTTATAAATGAAAAAAAATTAATTTTTTGTGTTTTTTTGTGATAAAAATTAAAAATATTAATCATGTTTAGTAGTCATTTATATTTACAAAATTGTAAAAACAAAAATAAAAAACTTGTTTTGTATTATATCAAAAATTCACCATCCAAACCCCACGACCCAACCCCACTGACCACCAAAAACCACCACCCAACCCCACCACCGAAACCCACCCCAACCCCACCACCGAAACCCACCACCACAACCACTGAAACCCACCCGTAACCCAACCCCCGAAACCCATCCCTACAACCATCGAAACCCACTGCCCACTTTTGAAACTCCTTAACAAAACCCACTACCTATCCCTGAAAACCCACCACTACCCTCGAAACCCACCCCTGAAACTCCCCAGCAAAACCCATCATAGAAGGGCGAGAGAGGAAGAGAAAAGAGATAGAGAGAGAGATTGAGAGTCGAGAGATTTGAACAAAAAAAAAAAAAGGTGAAAGAGATAGGGGTTTTTTATACTGAGCAATGCTATAGGGATTTTATTTGGGGACCTAATGATGTGATTTCAATGCAACCATTGGATTAGTTGTGAGTTCCAATGTTAAATGGAGCCCACAACCAATCCAATGGTTGTATTAAATTAGGTCTTTAGATTAGGTCCCCAAATTAGGTTCAAATAGTATTTTCCTTTTATACTAAAGCAAGAAAATTCACTTTTTGTTGCTAAGGAAGATTGAAGCCAGGATCTCATTAAATGAGATATTTTAAACCACGCGTTTGTTTTTTTTTTTGGATGTTTTCAAAAACATTATTTTGGATGCTTTCATATTTTAGCCTTGTTTTCAAAACGGAGCAGTTAAAAAAAATGAAAACATTCGTCAAACGCCTTTTTGTTTTTTTTGTTTTTGCCATAAAATGTAAACAAAAACGAAAAAAAATAAAAACACAAAGTTACCAAACGACACCTAAGTATCTGGAGATGTTTATTATTTTAGGGGGTTTACGTAATATTGGGAACAAAAGCTTTTAAGCAAATCATAGATAGGAAGCATTATGCAGTATCTTGTATTGTAGATTATGGTCCCACGTATTGTTTACTGGCATTGCATTCTCTATAAATCAATGTCGCATGTCACCCCTTGTTCTCTGTTTGCAGTTTCAATTTGAAGAAAAATGGGAGACAGAAAGCGTGGGCATGATAACGATGACAAAGGGCTGTTCTCTTCCCTTGCTGGATATGCTGCTGGACACTATAACCCCTCGGGTGCATACCCCCCTCAAGGATATCCTTATCCTACTCCAGGGGGGTTCCCACCAGCTGGATATCCTCCTCCCGGAGGGTACCCACCACCAGCATATCCTCCTCCAGGGGGTTACTCACAACCTGGATATCCTCCCCCTGCTGGATACCCACCACCAGCATATCCTCCCCACGGTGGATATCCCACAGCGGGTTACCCAGGTCCATCAGCCCCATATCATTCAGGTTCAGGTTAACTTTGTACCATATCATCATCTCAGTTTTTCTAACTTCGCACATTTGAGCATGCTTTTAAACTGATTTAGTTTGCTCTACTCATATATATTGACGTTTCTGTCTTTATGCTGATGAGCATTATCCTTCTTATTCAGATGATTTATTTTTTAATTGTCGTTGATTCACTTGTTAGTCATTTTATCTTTCTTTCTTGTAGTCTGAGATACATGATATGCTGTGTCTACCCTTGCATAGGGAAGAATATAATGGTATGCATCTCCAAGTTTCTTGGTAAATGCAAAGCCAAGATGACTTACCATATCTAACCTACTCAAGGCTCTTTTTAGCATCCTTGAAAAGTCTTTCCATTTTAAACTTCCTATTAGCGAGGTGTAACTTATCTGACAACATAAAAGCTTTGTGGCTGTTTCTACCAGTAAGAAATGCTAGAATAATATTGGTTTGCAGTAACAAACCAGAAATTCTTAAAACGGAAACAAGAAACCTTCACTGGTCAAAATCCATCCACTGGATGGATCCAGATGGTTCTTTGATTCATAAGAAACAGCATTTAAACATAAATTTTACATGGTTCTTCGTAAAAATTGTAATCTTTGTTTAGAAAATATCTAGTACCAAAATAAAAGTTGGCACAACAAAGAGAGTGGATAATATTTTCCCTTTCTAAGTTTCTTGTTTCTCTGCCTCTCTTCTACATCCACAAATATCTAGTATAGTTTACCTGTTCGGATTGCATGTTTACAAGTGCTATTGATCCTCAAATCCTGGTTGTTGGTTACTATGTTTTGTGCTACATTATTTTGTTGATTGTTGGTAATCCAATATGAATAATTTCTACAGGGCACGGACCAAATTTTGGAGCCTTGCTAGCCGGGGGTGCAGCTGCTGCCGCCGCTGCTTACGGGGCTCACCATCTATCACACGGTGGGCATAACCTTGCACACGGTGGTCACTTTGGCCATCACCATGGGAAATTTAAGCATGGCAAGTTCAAGCATGGTAAGTTCGGCAAGCGCTGGAAGCATGGCCGGTTTGGAATGCATGGGGGAAAGTTCAAAAGATGGAAGTGATTCCTGTAGCCATGGATGATGGTATGTATATATATAGTAGTAGTTCAATAGGATCTAGGTGACCTTTACTTTTTGTGATGACCTGTGATTGCAATTCGAGTGTTGTGCAGCCCTTGCATATATGCTTAGTTATATCTTGTTCTTATTGGATTTATGTATAAGTTTCCCGTTGAAGCTGAATATGGCCATTGTAAGCATTGCTCCAATATTTGTATTCTGCAAATTTGAGACATCCTCCCAACACTAACAACCACAGCAAATTTTTTTTATTTAAATCGTGCAATTAAGAACAAAACAGTAGCATGTAAAAACGGACCCAATTGCCAAATAGAAATTATTCGAGAATTCAATCAAGGCTATGTTTGATAGTATGTTCTTAAAACAGATTTTGCCTCCACTCTGGTGCATATGGATTGTTAGGTGTTTGCCTCCCAGGGATACAATGATCACGCAAACAAAAGGAGCACTATGATCTGTTTGCACAACGGATCATAAATTACATTTTGTACTCTCTGTAAATACTTTTAATCGCAAGAATGATGGATATAATTAACAGCCTTAATGATGAATTTTGTTCATGCTGAATGAATTTAAGTATATTTATAATACAAAGGTGACTGTTTGAAACAACCACCACTTATCAGATGCAACCTAAAAAGACACCAGAGATACCCATTGATGAACAAGCATTAGACAATTCAAATTCAACTGGAGGAAATATAAATTTGAATCGGTTTGAATTTTGAATTCCAATAAGCAAAAAAATTAAATTCAGATACAAAATTAATGATCCAATTAGCAAATGGATTTTACCCAAAAAGATAAGATTGGATATGAATTACACCCATACCCGAGTTTGGGTCGACTGATGGGGGCATATGGTTGAACCTAAGTCCATCTAGATCCTCTCCTGTCCTCAAAAGTGGGGTGCCTATTGTGGCTCTAGCCTTTAGAACAAATTTGGGATATATATGCTCCCACACTCGTCTAGGTCCACATCCATACAGGTACTTGAGCCGGTCTAGCGGTAGTGGTGCGTGTGGTTGAACTCAATTCCATTTAGGTCTTTTCCCGTCTACAAAAGCGAGGTGTCTTTTGGGGTCTAACCCTTAGAACAAATTTGGAGTATACATATCCACCAAAATTTCTTTGCTCAATCAATGTGAGATAAGTGTTAAATCTCACGTGTCATAACTTTTATTTTTACATTCTAAATGAGTCACTTTAAACTTATTTTCTCATTCACTTTTTATTCAATTTGAGCAAGCAAATATATTACATAATTCTTATTACAAAGTAGAGCACGAACGCGCAAAAATTTACTCAAAATAATGAGTTAGTCTCACTTTAATTTAGGTTCAAAATCAACCAGAAGTCAAATTTTTACACTCAAAAATTGTTTTGGTACAATAGTTTGAAGGTCAGTGTTTTTCAAGATCGACTTGCTTTCGACTAATTCATGATTGTTCAAATTGTAATATGAGCCACCTCAAAATGATGTTTGAGGGATTCAAATCTCTTCTAATAATTTTTTCCTCTAATTTTCTTCTTGAAATATCATTTAGCATTGATAAACGCAAAACTCATTTGTATATAATGGGTTCAACTTGAATTCAGAGTACGTGATTGAAGTTAGTTCAAATGTTGTATTTCGGTATCCCACAAATTTGGATACCAATTATTACTCATTCGTTGACATTTGCTCTAAACAAAGGGGGTTAGGTGATCAAATCTTGGCTTCAATCTAGGTAAGTTTTGTATCTGTTTGGATCCCCAGAAAAAATAATTCCAGAAAATCAGGGAAACACAAGACCAGATGACACTCATAGAATCTGTCCCAGTTGCATGCAACATGCGTGAAGTTTAGGGAAAATTTTCGGTGTTTACCAGCCCGTCACCTATAAAATATGGAGTTGTCAAGGTATAGAAAGAAATGGATATCGTATTGACATTTATTATATTTATGAATGTTTTTATCACTGTTATGGATATTTTTATCACTATTGTGATACCGAAGAAAAGTGGTAAAAATAGTTATCATCACAGTAATAAAACACTAGCAGCAGTAGTAAAAACACTCACAAATGTGGTAAATTACCTACAAAAGTGGTGATTTTTTTTGTACCAAAAAAGTGATAAATCACCCACAAAAGTGTTGAATTTTTTTGTTGTAAAATAACCCATAAAAATACCTATTCAAATAATAAATTTTAGAGGTGTGACAACGATTTTTTTTTTTCTGTACTATATTCAAGTCCATAAAATTTCGTACATTCTTAATTAATTACTGTCATTTGAAACGTTGTCAATTTTTTTTTTTGAAAAAATTAATTTATATTTGACAAATGAATATTGTGGTAATTTTTCTTCGAGTATAAATACAACATAACAATATCAATGGTACCTCGTAAGCACCTACTTTGTTTTTTCTTTTCTTCGTGTAGTAGTTGTTCAATGGGTTTGTTTTGTTTTGTTAACTGCTCCTTTTGGCTTCTTATTTATGTGCCATTTGCCTAGGCGCCACTACTTTGACCTCTTCATTTAGTTCAATTCAACAGGTTTAGTTTTTTATTGTTAGCAAGAGACTGACGACGAGATTCGAATTCGTGTTTTTAATGTTTTTTGAGTATTTATAATTTTTTACATATTTTTTTTATTTGTTATAATTAATTGTTACATTAAGAGTAGCAGTTATTAAGTCTATCGTTAACCAACTCTCCGAGGGATCTGATTACTGTCTAATTTCTTTCACTTACTTTATATAAATCAATCATTCCATTGTTTACTAAGATTTAATTAAAACGACAAGCAAAAAAAAAATCATACCCGAAATATAAGGCTCTTACATACAGAGAAATTTAAGTGAGATATAGATAGTCTTACGTTAACTCTGAAAAGACGAATTCTCAAACCCGAACGCATTATGTATTTATTTAAATCGATGAATAGTTGCCATCATTTTAAATTCCATCTCTTTAGACGTAAATTTATGAATCTGTAAATTCTTAGAAGTGGTTCAGTGATTGAGTTTAACTTTTAATAATTCAGAAGTCTCAGGTTCAATCATTTCTCTTTTCATGGTTATGCACTAATCCACCTCAAATCACGGTCATCAACCGCTAAACTTAAGGGAATAGTCGGAAATGATAACTTGTCATCATTATAAGTCTTACTTAGGTTCGGCCTCTTTGATGCAATAGGTCTTAATTGAGACACATGATGTGTGATTGGTATAAATTAAATGGGAGAGAAGGTAGCTGCAAAGAAGTGGAATCCCAACTACCATGTACTTGGAAAGTATTTTAGACTTTGGAGTTCAACCCTTCCAAGTGCTTTGAATCTGTACCGGTGTACATTGACAATATACAAATTCAAGAATTTTTTGGCACACTCAACGAATACGAAAGCCATAAAATTTCACCTACTTTATAACAAAAAAATCAATTTACTTATTGGATGTATCTATTAGTGGTTGTTTTGATAAATTATAAGAGTAATGCTATTGAGACCTAATTCATTCTGACATTTGAATTAACTGTGGACTCCATCAAACATTGGAACTTTGTGTTTATCCAAATTACACAAATTCCACCTCAACCTCGACCTTTGTCTACATGCACAAAGACTAACCATAGAAAGTCCTAAAATGCGCTCATAATCAACACTAAAATTACCAACTCCAGCCTTAAAACACCACCCAATCCACCCCCACCTTCACTCCCCATGCACCACCTCCACTTTGTTCCAACTAGGATGTCACTTTTAATTGTCAAACATGAATACAACACAAATCGACCATAATCCATAACCCAAACTGAAACCATTAATTATCACAAATGATAAACGGATCGGGTCAACATTAGATTGGAATCACTCGTTTAATTATTGACATCAATCTATACTAAACGTTGATTAAGATTGTTGTGTCATGTTTTAAACATCAAAGGGTTATAATATTTTTACGACAAAAATTTACGGGGCTCAAGTGAAATTAATCATATTATTGTAGAATGACTTATTGTCACCTCATTTTTTTCTTTTTTGCATTATAGACCCCTTTTTCTTCCCCCATCTAAAAAATCCGTCTTCTGTTCTCACTTTTTCTCTCTATCTTTACCTATATATGTCACGGAAAAGGTTGTGGTACCCAAAAAAAATTATTACCATACTGTTAAATTTTATAAGTTGAGAGACAAGTTTTTAGATTATTTTATACAAAAAAAAATGTATAACTTTATAATTATTTACAACTCTTTAGATTACATTAGGATTGATCCTAAAACCCAAAGGAATTTCAAAATTTGTAAATGACGCACAAAATTTATAACAATCCCGAAAATTGTAAATGACACTCAAAATTTATAAGAAAACGCACAAAATTTGTACATGATGATATGATACTGTATGTTTTTTCTGGGTATGGTAGTCTTCACCATGTATCAAATGTTTTGGTGATTTGTTACACTAAAATTATTACCATTCCTTTACCTTCTCCGCCTATGTTGTCCCAAATGATGCAGGCCCAGTTATTCTCTTTTAACTTCACTGGTTAAACACTTACCCAAAAGAAAGTAAAATTTCACTGTTTAAACCACCATAAATGCATGTAATACAATCTACTGTCTACTGATACTCACTTTCAACGTATATATATATGCGTTTCTTGTGATCCGTGGACAGTCTGCGTGATACATTCTTAGAGGGTTTGGTGCTTTGGTTCAATTCTTCATCAACCCCTCTTTGATCATTCATATTCTTATTATTTCTCTTACTCTGAAGTTTAGGGAGAGAGAGAGAGAGAGAGAGAGAGACCCATATAATGTTTTGGTGCGCTTGGATGAGAAGAAACTGAATTTACATCATTAATGTTGTTCTCTTGGAAATTTGTTTGATGGGTATGAACGAAAAAGCTATGATAATAATTTTCACAGGCTTTTTGCAAGGATTAAGGTGGGTTTTCGGTTATTTAGCTGTTTGTCAATTCTTCTTTATCTAATCTT